CCCCCATCCCCACCTATACTTTATGACAGGTCCCTATGTAAAAAGATAAAAAAATCCAAAGGCATTTTATGGCTGGGCTACCAGAGGCAACCCAGTAAAACTCATGTTAGATTTAATTGAAATATGCCATCTCTACTAACATTTGCATCGGGATTTTGCTCTTTGGTTGTCAAAGCGAGGCAAAATCCGATTGTGTCCTCGGAGCTGGTACTGTACGTTGTAGGTTGTGTTATTTGATGTTCTGATTTCAATATATCGAGAAATACTCATCTTGGGACCGTGTAAAATTGATACAATGACGACCAGGTGTTTAAAAAAAAAATTAATTAATTAAAGGAGTTTCGTGAAGATTGAAGAGAAGACTTTTTAAACGCGCTGATTAAAAGCAATTGGCAATTTAGGTACCGGAGTCTCTTGGGCCTTGTCAATTTTTTCTACGGGGAAGAAAATTTTTCGAAAAAGCGAAATTACCACATAATTGCTTTAATATCCACTCCCAGTGAATATTAAAGCTACAAGAAATTTGTAAAAATATCACTGCCTTCGATTTCGTCAAAGGATAATAGCCTGGGCAGCCTGGGTTTTCTCTCGTCTCTCGCGGCCCTTGCCTCTCTCAGTTAATCCGCGAAAAAATCCCTCTAGAACCAAGGGTAGCTCTGACAAGCTTTGGGAAACCTCATAATCACCACTCGAGCAGTGATTATCGTCTCACAATCACTGGTCGCTTTCACAGCGCGCGAAACTCTACATTTAAGTCTAAAATTATGTGACACCAATTATTACGCACTACTATGCACTAGCTTGTCATTTTGCAATTTTATTGCTTTAAATATGAAATTTATTCGAATGCTATTTAATGTTTAAAGTTATTGTGTGATTGGTTGATGGCACCATAGATATTTTTTAATTAATGTATCTAATAAAATTATATATTAATGATGGTTTCAACTTTAGGTCATACTGTCTTCTGGCACTAGGGTAAAAGTTTACCGTTATGTAATAACCTTAGATGTTTACGTGTTCGCACCAAACACAGATGGAGTAAGTACTGACGGGCTTTGTGGTAAAATCAATGGTATTCGTAGTGACATTTTTAAATATGGACGAAATGGCCAATCCTATACAAATCAAGAAGACTTTTCCCATAGCTGGCTGTAAGTAAATAAATATGAAATTAATTTTTAACTTTTCTCAAAAAGGCATGGTTGACTTATTTGTTTTATTATGAATTTGGCTTGTAATTAGTTTATTTCTGTTAATTAAGCTTTATATATAATGAGCTACTTAGACGATACGGCAGCCATCTTGCCAGGGGGGCAAAACAAAACGAAGATAATAGAAAATCATAGAGTTTCGTGTGTTGTCTTTCTTTTATGGGTGAAAGTGATCGATGTGTTATCTTAATTCATCTTTTGTTGTATTCTCTTGTGGTGAGCTGTTTAATATCAATCGACATCATTACTATAATCAAACCGCCGTTTGGCGAACTCGTGGATACTAGTTGCACTTTCCAGAGATTGGGCTCCCTGTGTCGTTATGCTTGTCGACATTCGAAGGTTTCAAAGTATTTCGCTCGATTTCATATTCTAAATACTCAATTTAGCTTGTAAGATGATTAGTCGTCCTTTTATATATAGTTCTTTGTTATTTTGTTGAGTTTGGAAGCGAATTCTGTGATGATTTGATTGTTGAAGTTACTTCAATGACGAAAGAGGACTTCGACTTCGATGGACTTCTATTTGCTAAGTCTTCTGAAAAACAAATTCTGGATTTTGTTTTTAATTTCAGGAATCATTCGTTCAAATCTTTTTGGCTAACAAAAAGCGTTGCGTTATCCGTTACTACTTATCTTTACCTTCAAGGGTCACGGCGCTTACAATCGATTTGTTGCCTGAAGTTTTCACATGAAACTATTTATTTACACTGTGAACTAAGTGAATATTTTATAGAAATTTAGAAATACTATTTAATTTGTCTTCATTCAAGTCTGTAAATTACTGATTATTTATTGGAGCGAATCTATTGTGTAGATTTGTACCTTAGCAGTTACAGCCATTCTCCTATAGCATTGTTTCTGTCGCGACGAAGAAAGTTTTGGTGGACGTCAAACACAAGGCGTTTCCATAACATTGTTGGAAAACACAGGGCTATAAGGGCACGTGCCTATAGAATGTCATGGAAACGCCTTGTTGACGTCTACCGAGTGAAACATTTGCATATTCAGACCCTTCACAATAACTCGTTTCTACGCTTCACGTATCCACGAGTTACAAGATGGCAGCCGTATCGTCGAAATATAGACTCAATATATTTCAATATTTATAGTTTCAATATTTTCAAGATGGCGGCGAAAACGAGAGAGACTGTGGACGAGTATTTTGGTTCCCAAAGCACGCTGGGTCCAAGTTTTCGGGACCCATAAGTCCTTTCGGTCATTGTACCGTTACAGTCTCTAAGCGTGGAGACGGAACGGACGAGCGAGAGACTGTGGAAGAGTCTAGTCGAAATAGTCCATTTTAGTAGACCATTAAGATTTCTTTGTTGTTGAATGTTGTTTTTAGCGTAAAGCAATCTAGAGCACTTAAAAATCACTATGAAAAACCAGCAAAGTGAAATGCTATCATCTTGTATAGACCTATGTATTCATGCAAAACATTTTTTACATCTCCTTACAAGCCCTTCTACTTACCAAAGAAAATATTTAAGAAATTGTACTTACTAATGAAAAAAAGCTGTACTTACAAGTCTTTTTTTACAGTCTTAAACCAGAAGAGAGCTATCTTGAGAAAAATCTACCCATAGATGAAAAAGAGCCCGAACAAGAACGTTTCTGCTTTTGCAGCATAACAGACGACAAATTTACAAGCAATACTTGTAAAACAAGCGCAAATCATTTCAATGACATCGAGGAAGGAGGCCGCGAGGTGCAACTAAATATCGATCCTACAATGTTCGAATTAAAACGAAGATCGGTGGATAGTCACTGGTACAGCGATGACATCATTAATCAAGAGTATCGCAGTTTTTTTGTCGCTGATCATGATGTACAAAAAGCTTTGAACCGAATACGAAGTAAGAGATCAACTTCCTATACAAGGTGGCCTGAACGAAGAGCGAAACGATATTGCACAAAACTAATCGAGGGCTCAGAAGCAGCAAAAACATGCAGGAAATTGGACTCGGAAAGCGTGGAAAGTGCTATTGGACAATGTATCAATGATCTAGTGGTAATAATATTATAATCAAATGTTTAGCTTTGTGGTTGTACCACCGCGGACGTAACATCAGTTCAATTCATTTGAAAATGGCGCCCAAGCAATCAATTCAAACCGCATTTTCCAAATTTCCCTGAGTTTTGTTTAGACGATAATGATAGGAACTATAAATGAATTGGATATAAATTTTCTGATGTCCACTCCAAGGGAATAGCTATCTCTAGTAATCGTTTGTATGCGAGTCTATATGAGTGGCTTACCTGCCCGGGGGGGGGGGGGGGGGGGTACTCCCCTATATTTGCTATACGGGTATGTGCCGCCCTATAGGGTATGGTTTTTCGGCTTTTGGGTCTGGGGTAGGGTATCATTTTTTGACATTTTGTCTGGGATAGGGTGTCATTTTATTCTGGGATAGGGTTAACAATTTGGTCGTTTTTGTCTGGCGAATAGGCTACGCTTTCTGCCGACACAAAAACAATAAAAACGTTTTTTCCGTATTTTCCGTCTTTTAGTCTGGGATAGGGTGTACAATTCTTAGTTTTTAATTAGTTTGGGTAGGGTATGTAAAATCAAAATTTTAGGTCTGGGATAGGGTCAGGGTTTTGAGGTCCTGGCGGCACACCCCTACCCAAGTTGGGGTGGTAGTACCCCCCCCCCCCCGGATTACCTGGTTGTACACGCCCATGAACTGGATTTTTCTTAACGAAATCTAATTACCTTTTATCTTTTCACTTTCAGTTGTCTGGGAATGAAGATTTTGCAATCTTAGCATTTGATACCATGAAAGTAGTTTGTGAAGAGACTGCTTTGACAAATCTTTCACTCTATACTCAAAATTCTGATGGTGAGTTAATATTTTCAAAAGAAATAGTGCAAGACTTGTGTCCTACAAACTGTAGTGGACGTGGCGAGTGTAAGAACAGAACCTGTATATGTGATGAAGGCTATACTGCTCGGGACTGTTCCATAGATGTTAATGCAGTGCCTGAATTACTAGGGTATGTAAAAACCAAATATTATATTAATTCAACCCAGTATATTTCAGTGCGAATCTATTTTAATTATGTCCCGATTACACATCCTTTTTCTTGAAGAAATGGGCGATATCGACTCGTTATTTCTAATACGCAGCTATTTTTTTGAATGCCAAAAAGATTCTAGAGATATCAATAAATTCGAGATCGCGTCCATTTTGGACTGAGAAGATGGAAAATATTTTTTTAAAAATTCATCAAAACATAGCCTCCGTTGCAGACGTCCTGCGGGGTTCGGTTTGGATCCCTCCCCCAGGAGGACGTCTGCAACGGAGGCTAATCAAAACATTCGAAGGACGTCATCATGAAAAAAGCTGCATGCGAACAATGCTCGCGAACCGGTCCTTAAAGTAAAACTACATTTAAAAAATATAGTATTAGTATTCGATACCTAGAGTCACACTAAAGTTTAGAATACGCTTCTTGCATCACTAAAATGTATCTGATAAATAGTGTTATGAGAGAGAAAATTAATGTTTTTACAGATTACGGCTAGACATCAGTTTTCTAATTACTATTTCGTATCGTATGAAGATAAAGAACGATCGATTAGCTATATAAAAATATCGATATAAGATTTCAGTAAGGCTACCATGACGCAGAAGTTTAGATAATGGTATGCATTGAATTCACAAGTAAACCTCTTAGCTCCTCCCATTAGCATTTGTACCTCTGGTTACGCCCTACACAGTTTTTACCCCTTCGCTCAGTTATTTTAGTACTATTCATATATTAACTTTAGTTTAAGCTATGTTTAGCTCCAAGATTTTCACTCGTAATACTCGTTATTAAGATACACACTTAGGAATTCACTTATTCTTTTAGCCAATCATGATTCAACGATATTATTACGTTGATTGTAGACTGACATAGTTAATCTATTAACTATGACATGTCATAGAATTATTATAAACAGAGCTCATATGTAATTAGTTGAACACACAGAGAACACAGAGAGAACAGAGAGTAGAATAAAGAGCTCATACCTAGAGCGGTCGTCTCATAACAATAGTTATCGTTTCTCTTAGTCTTGTTTACATTATTTTTTAGTATCTACAACGGTGGACTCTGTGATATACGTGAACGTCCATGTAAAAAGACCGATCTGTTGGGACAGAAGTTTATCGACTCAAACAACCTCACGTGTCATGTGAAAGAATTCAAGGTATATTTATTTAGTGTAATTGTTGTTTCTATAGTCATTCATTAATTCTCTTATTCAGTGTACAATATATAAACAACTTTTAAAACTAATGAAATTAAGGCGTAGTGCTCAGAAAAAGCTCAGTATACACGACTTTCAAAAATGTCGAAGTCATTCATCTCACTAATTTGAGTTCTCTTAAGCGTCTTTTGAAGTAAGGGTGAATGACTTTGACACAAAATATCGTACTGAGTAGACTTTATTAATGAGGCCTTACTTACCTCGCTTGCGTTCAATTGTCCCTAGTTCCAACCGAGTTTGGCGGCCATTTTTGAAAGTCGTGCATTGGAGTTTTCCACAGATGTTTGAACTCGAAATACACTTATACAGATTTGATTTCCACAATTAGATTTTGTCGAAAAATTAATCCACTTCATGGGTGGATTTATTAAAATTAAAACTTGCAACCAAAGGCTTAATTACAAAATTAACACAAGAATATAATTAACTATATAGTAACAACTGATATATCTAAAAACTATTAATTTGGACTATAATAACAAAATGTGTAAAAACTATTATATTGAACAGGGTTTAAAAAATTATTTAAAGGAATAAAAAAGTATAGAAACCATAGATATGTAATTCTATGTCCTAAAAGCATGGCTAATGATAAAACTGATTCCTACACCGCTCGGTTTTGCATTTTGTGGGGACCGTAGGGGAATGGAATGAGACTAAAACGGCTGCGAGGGTGACCATAATATTAGGTCCAAACAGCCACAGATTATCTACTTGTATAAAAAGAACGTCAAGGAACCCTGTTTACAATTAATTGGTGCTTTGATAACTAATAATTGCATATTTTCTTTCTAATGAGGTTTATTCAGGTTCTTGGTCTCCACGTGGAATTCCTATCACAACACATGGAAAGATGATGGACATATTTGGTGTTAAATGCAACCTGCCTGATCCACCTACGAGACTTGGTGATTATGATCACGAGGGGACCCCTGCTGGGGGACTTATGATCTCAGTTTCTAACGATGGCTTCAATGCAAGTGCTCAACAATTACGACATGTCACTTATGATTCTAAGTGTATGAACTGCACCAACTCAAGCATATGTGAACGTAAGGTGAGTTCACGATATTCACTACATATATACATTTATCATTATCCAACTATTCAAATTAGAGTACAAATAACGCAGGAGAAAGCCTGGAGCGAGTACGAATATCCTGAGATATTTGTATACTCCAGATTATTCATGGAATACTTCGTTTTAAAGCCTTCTTTTTGGGAAAAGGTAAGCTCAACTCAATAATAAATAACTTATTAGACATTTTAGGGTGGAATACGAGTGGACGAAAAAATATCCACCTGTATTACACTCGAAAATGTCTAATAAGATCTATGTATTCCAATAATTTGTATTTGTGCCCAAGTATTGGTTAGTACTTGTTATTTAACGGCATTGAATAAGCTCAGCAGAGTTACATTCCTATTCCTATCAGGGATTCTTATCAGGGATTTTTTTCAGATAAATATGATTTCAACATTCTCATTAAATAACCTTTACTAAATTACCTAACTCTGAGAGAGTTAACAGAACTAGCATGGGTCGATATCTCATATTCCAGTCACTTATTTCCGATCTTCAATATAAATTTTAAATTCTTATCAATAAATGTTTTTAAAATATTACAAAACTTAATGTATTTTAAAAAGGAAATGAGCTCGAGTATGCCATCATTTCTAACTTAGTGACTCAATTCCGAATGCATGAGCGTGCGCGTCATTCCGTCAACTTATTCTGAAATTTTGATTTCAGCCGAATTCCTGTCTTATCAGAGGACATTGTTTTGCTGCCAACGAGCCCAACCCACGTGACTGGTGCCAGCAGTGCTTACCCAAAGATGACCAGAATTCCTGGACGCGTAGGAAAAGTAATCTGACTTTGGCCATACTAAATAAAGAAATATATCACTAAGTTACACACTCAAATAATTACTTGGCTTCCTTAATTTAACAATGTTTCTGTAAAGTGAGAACAAACATTATTCACTATTACAATAATATATTTTTCATAGATAACCAAGCACCAAATTTTGCCACCAAGACAGCTGTGTTAGCCGTTCAAGGAGAAGATCTCGTGATACAGCTGAAAGCAACAGATCCTGATAACCGTCCTGTGACATTCTCTCTACTCAGTTCTACAGCTACTGGCCACACATTGAGTACAGCTGGTCTACTGAGATGGAAGGTCACATCGAATGAGAAGTTCACCTTCAAAGTGACTGACGAGTGTGGAGCGTTTGATACAACAGACATGTTAGTGCGTATAGTACAATGTCCATGTCTGAATGATGGTCAATGTGTCCCCCACCCCTACCATCCACGGGGATCTGGTCTGTATCAGTGTAAATGCGTGAATGGATTCAGTGGAGACAGATGCCAAAGATGCCCTGGACTAGTCTGTAAGTCAAGCTTTGATCATATTTTTGTTATAAGGCATAGAGTAGTCTGGCAATTAATTCCGGTGCTTTCAGCTTTTAATTCGTGTGCTTTCAGGTCCTCCTAGAAATCTCAGTGTAATGAAATTAAGCTCAACAGAAGTTGAAGTAAAATGGCTCGAACCACAAGACAAATCTGTGGAATATTACCTCTTGGGGGTAAGCGATTAATAGCCAGAATTGATGTTTATGTAAGAGCGTTACTAACACATATCTTTTATAAATTGTGTTCTTCAGTATGGTCCACTGGAGCAAAACCCCAGTATTCGAAGCTTATCAAAAAACATAACCAGTTGGATTCTGACTAATTTGAGGAAATTTACAGATTATCGAATCGCAGTGTCTGTTGTGAATGAAAATCGCACAATGACGGTTGAAATCATTGTAAAAACAGATGAAGATGGTGAGCTAATTCTTAAGTCACTGTATATGTACAAGCACCAGAGGAACCTACGGGATTAGATAGAAGGACTCTTTGCAGTCAGGCTATAACTGTATATTTCACGATAGGCTGGAAATCCCAGACCTACAATTTTGATTTTACATACCCTACCCCAGACTAAAACTAAGAATTGTACACCCTATCCCAGACTAAACCCGGTTGGTCAATAGATTGCAATCAATATTTGCTAGCGTTTTTATTGTTTTTGTGCCGTCAGAAAGCGTAGTCTATTCGCCAGACAAAAACGACCAAATCGTTAACCCTATCCCAGACTAAAACGACCAAATCGTAACCCTATCCCAGACAAAAATGACACCCTATCCCAGACAAAATGCCAAAAAATGATACCCTACCTCAGACCCAAAAGCCGAAAAACCATACCCTATAGGGCGGCACATACCCGTATAGCAAATATAGGGGAGTACCCCCCCCCCCGGGAAATTCTTGTACAATTTTGACAATTAATTATGTAACTGCATATATTTTTTCTTTTATAAATCATATCTCTATTTGATGGTGTTCAACTGATTTCTTTCCAGTTCCTGATGCTTCTCCAAACATTACTAATATCACTCCTGTAAGTTGTGACACCATAAATATTACATGGTCACCTATATCCAAAACTTTGCGTAACGGTATTATTAGAGGTTACAGAATCTACTATAAAGCAGGTTTAGCAAATGGAAGTTGGGCAAAGTGGCAGTCGCTTACTGTAAGAACTGGAAACGTTTCAAGTGTGAATGTTACGAAGGCCGTGGTTTCCAGACTGAAGCCAACAACGATGTATTGCTTCAAGATGACAGCTTTTACAAGTAAAGGGGAGTTCCCTCTATTGAAAGTGTCAAATTGTTGGTTAGCAAAAAGTAAGTCATGTATAACTTCAAGAAGTAAGGTACAACGTTCTCCAGAGTTAAATGCTTGTCTGCTTCATAACTGAGACCTATGAATTCCCCTTGATAGACTTGATAATAACAAAATGCCCTTTTCTCTTACTCCAGTAAACCGAGCACCACAATTCAGTCTAAAACCAATGATCTACAACGCTTTACAAGGAGAAGATCTCGTGATACAACTGAAAGCAACAGACCCTGATAACCGTCCTATAACTTACTCTCTACTCAGTTCTACAGCTACTGGTCACACATTGA